CCCCCCCCCCCCCGGGGGATTTGACTTTCTACTGACCTCTCCAAGGATAGAAATATTTTAGTGGGATGGAGGTGCGAAGTACGATCTTCACCAGTTCTTGATGGTAGGGGGTGGGGGAGGAGGACGGGTGGATAATTATTTCGTCGCCGTTCCCGACGGAGCAGCTAACCAGCTAAATGGCTTATTTGTACTTCTGGCAAGCGACTGAAAGTGAAATACGGCTTACAAATTATGTTTTTTCTGCAAAGTAGCTTTTAGGTAGCGTAATTTCGGTATTTTTATGTCTTCTGCTTCAGTCCTTTGGCGTGTCGAGAATTTACTGAGCATCACCTGAGTCGGGATTATGTTGTATTGACTTTGCCCTCTCTGCTGACTCCGTTATCCCAGAATTCATCATTCAAACTGTTGTCGTCGCGGGTGGCCTGAAATGATTAAACCCAGGCTACGTGTCGAGAACGCGAATACTACTGTGCACGTGCTGAGCCCCTGAAGTGATATTGAACTTTTGAACTTTCGACGGAATCCCAGGAAAAGGAACTCTATTTTACATACATCACACATCCTGCTCGGAAAAATCAACTTCAAGACGTCAGAAAGTACCAAAAATGCGCAAAAAGGTCACGAATAAATATCCTGATACAAATTTTTAATTCATTCGATAAAACCTTTCTTCAAACAGGGCAATAAAATGTTCGCAGTTGTGCAAGAACAGCTCATATGAGAAACGTCACCGTGACTAAAATTTCTTCAGATATCCGAAACTCGTGGTTCCTTCATGTCTGAAGCTAACGATGAGCACAAGGTTTTCTCCGTGTAATGCAACGCGTAGGGTAAGAAGTTTTGAGAAAGTTTTGAAGGTCAGACGAGGTTATTTCATTTTTTCATCATTTTTATTTTCTTTTGAGCGCGTGATTTCGTGACAACACCGTGGAAAGTTTTAGAAAGACAGGAAATATCATTAGAATCTTATGATACTTGTAAAATCTTTAAACCAAAATATAGAACATACCGCGCGGTCCGAATCACTGAAACGCAATGAAAAGCGCTACTTCGTAGAGTAACGTACATCTGCGCGTGACTTCGTGACAACGTCAGGAACAGGAAAAATCATTCGAATTTCATTTTGATGATACTTGTATGATCTTCTAACCACAAAAATAGGAAATACTTTGCGCGTTGAAAAGCGTAGGTTTGTTAAAAGACAAAAATAGGGTAAATTCCTGAAAGCGTCTAAAGCCTTGTTGAAAGCGTGTCTAATTTTCACTCTAGTGAATCGTAGCACGCGGAGAGATTTCCACATACAATGCAGTCGTCCGTTGATTTCACGTGATCCTGTCGATCGGAAGGGCGCGCTGATTGGTTAGTTTCTTTGTTATTTGACAAGCTTCACGTGAAGAGATTACAAGTCTACTTATATAACAATAACGAAAAGATTTCTGTGCAAATTTGTAGTGGACACGAAGCGAGAAGGGGTAAAGGAGTTGGTTAGAAAGCATTCCAAAATTCTGCTGGTTTTCGCTGGAGGAAGCCTGAAAGGTGTAGGAACTGTCTTTTAAATTTCTCACAAGAAATCGCATTTCCACGCACAGCTGAGAAGTCACACAAGGAATTATGCCTCCAACACCGTCTTTAAAGTCTTGTGTGGTCAAATTCAATTCCTGCAGGAAGAGTGACTCGGACCTCCACAAGAAAGACAAAAAGGTTCATTTTGCAGATTCGATGGGACTTTCTCTCGTTTCTGTAGTTTATTTACCGCAACCTGCGCCAACGGCGAGATTTTTGTCGAAGCGAAAGTGGTCTTTTTGCGAGGAGAGAGCGAGGCTTTTAAATTTTACACCGCCGGTTGAAAGAAGAGACTTCCATGAAAGACTAAACGGGCTAAATGTGTCTTTAGAAAACATTATTTTGCGGGACTTTGGTATGTTCGGAACGGTAAAAGTTCGAAATTTAGCTTTCGAGAAGAGAATAACCATACGGTACACAACGGACGGCTGGTCAACTTATCGCGATGTCGTTGGTCAATACGTTAATGGTTCTCACGCCGGATTCACGGACACCTTCTCATTCGAGATCGCGTTGCCGTCAACTCTCATTAAAGACTGCAAACTGGAGTTTGCTGTGTGCTACAAGGTTCATGGAATCGAATTTTGGGACAATAACAGTGGAGATAATTATCGGGTTATGTGCTACTCGTCAAACCAATGGAAATCGCGAGAATGGGTTTACAATAATAGGAACAGTTTGAACGGTTACGCATATTTGCAAAACAGATATGTTGGTCTTAGATTCTAGTGCTGTAACATAAACGGCAGGTATTAAATATAGAACTCCTCTTTTGTACGAGGGCTTCGAAATTAAAATCGAACATTCAGTTTTAATTTATTGGAATTATGAAGGATGGTTTACCTGTTGTCAACTTCTGTAGCCATAGACTAAAGGCAAATTTCATAGAGAACTAAATTATTTCAGTGCTGATGTATTTGTGTGATAACTGACCGACTTTATATGTTGGGTGTTTAAGAACATAAGCGGTGTAAGTCGTCTTATCGTTATTTCTCATTTGGGTTGACTTTTATACAGACATAACTCGTACTTGTAACTACGTGTTTCGTTTCTAACGAAAGAAGAATTTCTCTAGAGTGAAAAAGCGTTATCGAGTTGGCAAGTTTGTTGGAATTTTTTCATTTTGTGGTGAAACGAAGACAATAAAATTATTTTTTTGTATATTGGACTTGAGGTTTTGATTGTTCCCTGCTTGTTTCATTGCATGCAACCCAATATTTTCGCTGAAACGCGCACACTAGCGTCACAAAGTTTAGACGCACACACAAGCGTCACAAAGTTTAGGTACTGTGTATGGTATAAGTGAACATAATTTTACAGTCCAAAATTTAGAATCAAAAGAACCTTTGGTACAGTGTAGAGTTTCCGTGCGTACATTTGTCGCGCTCCAATTATCTGGTCAAACTGAGAACTGTGATTGACTAAATGCAAGTTCTATTTTAGGCACAGTAATGGGGACAACGATTTCTCCTCACCTGGGAATACGGTATTGTAGAGCAACAATAATTGATCAAAACACACAACAAATCATGGTAGTTCAAGTCTGACAACTTGTTTGGGTTTTTTTGGAGTCTATGTCAGATTTTGCGTTAGAAAATTGTGATGAGCGCGTAGATTCACCACACTGAAAACTAATTCCTTGTTCAGTTGGCTAGTATGGACCACAAAGTTAAAATAGGAGCTATCCTATTGTGGTTGGGAGTATAAAGTCTGAATTTCTTTCTCAATCTTTTGATGAAAACCCTGCTTTTGATGTACTGGCAGCCTTCTAGGTAATTTATGAGACAAGTCCATCAAACGATTCAGACATTTCAGAGAAAGTTGACCAATCAAGTAAGGCATTTTGCCAAATTTCATGTAATCCTTTTCCAGAAAAATCTTGCACAGGAGACTACCATGCAACTTGTCTAAATGGTAGTCTGGATAGTCTGAAGAATATTGTCGTAGGAATGAAACCATATAACAATTTTGTCTCACTTTCTCTTTTTGGGTTTTCTTCACAGTTGCTCATTGATTTGTGGAAAATTTTATTAAAATTTAGTTTGGATGAAATTTAGCACGCTAAAAATATAAAGGCAGTGCGATATCTCATAAGCATACAGCATGTAAATTGATTTTCTAACTCTAGACATTTTCTACCTCTACCTTTCGACGTCTGTGTCATACAGCCTTACAAGTATGTAAAGCTTTATGGCAAGGGCAGATATGTTGTACAATAATAGTCATTGATAGCTTTCTTTTAATTATTAGTAGTGATCTACAAATTACCAAATCCTGAAGAATCTTCCCTGTTTAATGTGTTGTAATGAACCCCTTAAATAACTGAGCCACGACATACCCACGTGAAAATATGAGGTAGCCAATACTGGGACATGAAACAGACATTTGAATCCCCTTTCACACTACATTCCAGCAAAAGGATTCAAATTTATGATTTGCTAGGTTTGAATTTGCTGAGTGTCCAAATTTGTTTGCTTTCTTATCTCTTGACAAGAATATCTTTACCTATAACATAATCCACATAAAAAAGAACATTGATCTTGAGCTCTATATTCAGTATATCTGCTCATGCGTGTAGGTCGTGACCAATATACAAATAACAATTCCCTTGATGGACTCCAATATCTGTGTTGAAACTCTTATGCCATTGCTTATCACGTCATACATCCAGTATATCATGACTGCAGCACTTCACACACTAGAAAGTTATTTTCTCTTCACTAAAAAAAATAATATTTTGTATCAAGTATGTTCTCAGGGGCTAGTGGGATATACCCCCTTCCCCCTCAAAAAAAAAATACAGAAAATAGCAACTTATGTGCACATTCACAAGTATCAATACCTGTTAATTGGCAGGGGAGGTGCAAGTATTATTACACAAACAACATCTACTCAACCAATATACAGAAGAGCCTCTTGGGTCACTCATAAATTCCAGATCTACCAAATCAAAACTAGTATATAAGATGTTGAATTGACAGTTTCCCGATGGACAGCTTCAGTAGAAATATTGCATGCAAGGCACTGAAGAATAGAAAATTAAATATTGTACACTTTTCTGGGCAAATTATAAAGACCCATTGCTTCTGTTTGCTTGTTTGTTTTTCTTGATTAATTCCTTAGAATGCCTAAATTATACACACTCTATTTCTTCAGGATAATAGCATCTGTTAATGATTATTGTAAAGGTCAGCAACATGTGCAAAGACTGCTAAACCATGCATGACCTGATCACGTAAACCACACATAAAGATGCTGAAATATCTGAAGCAAGTGCAAGGTGAATGTTTATGTGTGAAACAGTCATGGCATGGCTATTTTAGCAAGTTATATGATGCAAACTTCTCAATCTCTGTGAGATATTAAAACATGTTTAAATTAGGTTTTGTATTTTTGTGAATAAAGATAATGTTTCTTATCGGTTTTATTATTTATTTCTTTTATTTTTTTTTGGTCAAAAATATTAAATTTGTCTGGTTTGGGTGTACACAAACAATAAGCAAACAGTACATTAACAACCAACAAGTTTCATCACCCTTACAACAGGCACACACATGCCATACACACGTTCTTGACAAAGCTTTAACGACTTAAATCATGAGAGAACAAATCGTAAGATAACAATCCGATGTATATAAATAAATTTATGTTCTGTGTTATTTAATTTACCTGAAGAAGATATAAATCCACTTTGGGAACAATTTCATTTTGTACAGTCATTTGGCATGGCATCCAAATATTTTTCCCTACCAATGTATATATAAATAGGGTGGTAAAGTTGCTTTGTTATTTCTTCTTGTTTCTGTCAGTTTTGACCTAGCCTTAATTACCCAATATAATGTGTAGAGAATTTCTTCACTTTCAAAGTGAACCATTTAGAGTAGGTCTAAGAATTCAACACTAGAACAGGCTTAAATTCAAATTATTCAGACATTCTGATCCAGAGAGTCCATTTTGACCCAGACAGTAAAGCTTGATCAGTTTACTGACGTAAAGAGCTCTTACTACCCCCATTAAATTAAAATCCCTTGAGGGCATTTCCTTACTGGCAACTATATATGGCCAATTTCCAGAGCTGTATGTGGTTTCCTTTCTGAGGGGGTGTAAGGAGTTTGGGTGATGTAGTTTTGCATTATTTTTGGTGCAGTTTTGCGGCCATTGTTATTCTAACCTGCGGTATAATTACAGATTTGTAAGGCTAAGCAGTTTGCAGTTTTCATAATGTACTGCTGTTTCAATTGAATTGCGACTAAAAACATTGGTGTTCCAAGCTTGTGTTCGGGATATTAGAGCTTGAAAAATAGCATTTGGCAAATTTTCACACAAAAAAAATTGGAAAGCATGCCTTGTGCAACATTTGTCTATGAGTGGTTTGCCCTGTTGAAGTTGTAAACATCAAGGTTTTTTCATTGGCTAAATAAATAAGGTCGCATGTCTAATGAAATGGGGAACCTGAAGAACTGATGAGGGCATGTACCACATTAAATTTTGTAACTACGGTTTTGGTATTTAGGTAAATTTTGATGCACTATTGTGGTTTTTTTTTTTTTTAAATGTTTTTGTACATGGTTTTGTGACCTCCCTTATGCCCCCCTGCTTTCTTCTGATATGCTGGGGCTATTAAGGTTAAAGCCATTGCTCTGTCTCAGGAGGGTTGCTTAGTCCTCCAGTTTTGCACAAACATGTTACATGCAATTTCTACATGTTTCCTTTACTTTCCCATCTTGCCTTCTGCTCAAATGCCCAGTGTGGCTTGGATCTTTTTCTTTTCTTAGCTATTTCCTCATCAGCTGCTTTTCTCTTTGCATAGTCTCTACATTCAACAGCTTGAGCTACTTTTACTGCAAAGTCATGCTGCATCAATTGCTTGTTGAGTTTTTCTGCCACTTTAAACCTCTTCCCTTTGACTGCAACCTCCAACCTTTCTTCTAAATCATCCTTAGGACAAAATATAATCCTGTGAGTAAATGGTTTCAGAAGAGGTGGCAATTAAGGCACAGCTCTTACCCCATGAGGGAGGCAACAAGAAAGTAAAATTGAAGCTGAAAGACCCACCCACCTTGTAATATTAAGGTACTCCCACTTCACAGTATATCCCCCCAAAAACAAAAACCGTGTTAGATATAAACCCCCTTTAAAAAACTCTTGCAAAATAATTTATCTTAAAGTGTCTATA